TGTCAACGGACAAAGGGTTGGACAGAGACGCTGTCAACGGACAAAGGGTTGGACAGAGACACTGTCCACACACATGATCCACACTGTCCATATACAGATGAAAGCAGATGTGTACATAAAGACAACTTCTTTCACTGTCTGACATTAAATCGGACTAAACCGTTTTTGTTTTAGGTCTGTTAGGATCCACATTTATTTTTGCAAAATGACTCGATATGAGAGAAAGTTTTATTACTTTTGTCGAGTCACATGTTTACATACAGTGACATTAAGCCGTTAAGCAATTTGGGAAAGCCCAGAGGATGATGTCATGGCTTTTGATAGTTAGTCAACAGCAATTTAATCAGTCTGAGGTGCACCTGATGCATTAAATATACGCCTCACATGCACCATTTTTTTATTTTTTATTTACAAGAAATCAGCCAAAACACCAGGAAGAGGATTGTCGACCTCCAGAACTCTGATTAATCCTTGGGTACAATTTCCAGATGCCTGAAGGTTCAACATTCATCAAGTCAAACAATTACACAGAAGTACAAACACCACGAGGACGCCCTGCCATCATACTGCTCAGGAGGGAACTGGCTTTGCAGCGAAATGTACACCAACCTCAAAACAAAAACAAAAGAGCTTAAGCTGCAACTGAAACTGGTCAGAAAGTCATCATCCACGGAGAAACCAGTCCTGGACTGACATGGGCAAAAAGTCCACTTTGTAAGTTCATAAAAAAATAGATTATGTTTTCAAATGCACAGCAGACGTGGACTGATCAAACTAAAATGAACCATTTGGCTCGTGATAATTGGAAGGAAAAGATGGCCGCCCCAACTGTAAAGTATGGGGGTGGCAGCATCATGCTGGGGGGGTGTTTTGCTGCAGGAGAGACTGATGCACTTCACAAAGTAGAAACATCAACAGGAAAGTAAATGCTGAATGAATGAAAAAAAAATATTGAAGCAAAATCTCGAGACATCAAACAGGAAGTTAAAGGTTGGGTTCAAATACAAAACGGACAATGACCCTAACTTCCTGCCAAATTACAAAGTGTCTTATGGACAACGAAGTCAGTGTCAGGTGGTTGCTGTTTACACGCAGGAACTGCAGAAGGGAGAAAATTGGGGGAAAGGGACGGGCTGATAACAAGAGAGATAAAGATGGCAACGATGATAAGAAGAAATGGGAACAGCGATAGGAGAAATTGGATTTGTGTTATCACTAAACGGCAACATCAAAGGCTTCGCTGGCAGAGAAAACTACAAAACTTTAGAGCAAAAAAAAGTTAATTTCACAAGTAATCTCCCCACCCTGGGGCTTGTGGGTAAAACAAAAACTCTGAAGTAGATGAATTTAGCTAATCTCTCTCACACAGCTTCAGGGAACCACAGAGGCTGAGGACAAAAAAAAAAAAAATTACCCAAGTGTTCCAGCTGGTGCTGGAAATTTAGGAAACCGAGACGTTTCATCCCATTTATGGTGCACGAGAAGGACTGTCGTCTCTGCGAGCACAAAAAAACTTCGGTTTCAACTATGAATCAAAATGTAGACGAGTTAAGAAACTGACGGCTGGTTTCTGTGCAGATGTTTGTCTGTTGTTCGTGGATGACGACGCTTCACCGAGGCAGCAGGGCGGAGCGGTGATGATGGTGCGAGACGGAAACGCACAAAGCTGGGTGAACATAAGCCCCGAAATGATGCTGTATGAAGTCAATGATTGATAGAAATCAGAAAATGAAATGAGCTGTCCAACAATAAACGCGTTGTCTTCAAAGGTGCCTCGAGACAAATATTCACGGGGTGGCAAAACCAAAAGCCATGATTTTATTATGCTGTTAAATAAAGTTTAAATTTTTTTTTAAAACTAGAATTATCTTTTAAAATCCCCCGCTGCTTCACAGTTAAAGTTTTAAATAAAAGTATACGTTGGAGATGACTCTCAGCTACTACCACACTCAATCTCAGCTCAACATCTGTAATCTGAGTTAAATATATTTTTGTGTTTGTTAAAGTCGGTTAGCCGTGATATCCATCTTCAGGTAGACGCCATAATTTAATCAGCTGTAGATGTAAATTCACTGATTACTGTCAGACAGTTTCATTAATATCTGTCCAGTAGTTCATGAGATATTTTGCTAAAAGACAGATTCTAGATATACGACCATTTGGCTGGTGGACAATCTGGATTCAAGGTTCTTTATTTGTCATACACACTCCATGTGGTACATGTGGTGGAATGAAATTATGTACACAGGGTCCCAGTCACATCCAACAATAAAATGTCAAAGAAAAACAGTAATAAGATCCAAGATATGAACTAAGAAAAACATCAACTAAAAATACACTAAGCACTAATAGAATAAAAACAATACGCTGAACAGCAGCACGCACGAGTGTGTGAGCAGATGAGCACGCATGAACACAGCAACATGAAACAGATCAGCAGCAACATGAAACAGATCAGCAGCAACATGAAACAGATCAGCAGCAACATGAAACAGATCAGCAACATGATGTGATTTTTCACAGTGATTATTCTGGTTAGAAATTCATGAGTCTAACAGCCCCAGGGTAGAAGCTGCTGCTCAGTTTAGTGGTTCTACACTTAATGCTCCTTAACCTCCTTCCTGAGGGGAGTGGGACAAAAATTGTGTGTGCTGGGTGAGTGGGGTCCTTCATGATGCAGGTGGCTATCATCCTGCATCTG